CAGCTTACATTGTCAGGCATGTTGAATTTCATAGACGGACTATGGTCCACTTGTGGAGACGAAAGAATAATTATTTTCACTACTAACCACAAAGAAAAGTTGGATCCGGCTCTTTTACGGCCCGGTCGAATGGACATGCACATTCACATGGGTTACTGCACGCCTGAGGGTTTTGACGTTTTGGTCTTGAATTACTTGGAAATAAATGATCATCCATTGTTTTTTGAAATTAAAGAGTTAATTAGAGAAAATGAGATAACTCCAGCAGAGATTGCAGAGCACTTGATGAGGAATGAGGATCCAACTCTTGCCCTTGAGGGTGTACTCAATTTGTTGAAGCAAAAAAAGCAGGTGGACAATGTAAAAAATGAGGAGAGTGATGCTAAGGAAAATAAAATAAATGGAGATTATGATGAGAGTATTGAGATAGAGGGAAAGAAAAGGAAAGGAAAGCTTGAGAAAATTGTTGGAAATTTGACTAGGAGGGGGACAAGAGTAAAAAATTGTGAATTGGAGCAAAAAATAAAATGATGTATGAAATTTATTCTTGATAGTGACATGAAAAAAAAAAAAAAAAAANAAAAAAAAAAAAAAAACCTTTCTTGGTTATTTTCAATGAGCACTTGTCATTTCCAAATGTATATATAACAATAAAGTTGTACTAAGTTTGAGCCAAAACTAAAATGATGTATGTATGAGATTTATTCTTGATAATGACATGAAAAAACTATTTAACGTTATTTTCAACTAGCACTATTGCGTTTCCAAATATATATTTATATATAATAAATTAAATTAAATTTGTATTTTTTACATATTTGGACTACCTTCAGCCTATGGATGCCCAATTGACGAACCAGATCGACTTCTAACACTACGGGGACATTATACATGAAAGTGATGAAAGAAAAGAAAAAGGGCAACCTTATAATGGGCCCAACTTTATTATACATCTTAGTCAATCAATGGTAATTGTGAGGGCGTTTCAAAGAAAGATGCAAACATTATGACATTCAACAAGTGAAGTACGTCACCAAAATCCAAATGCAATTTCTCATAAATCCTTCAACTTTATTTATGATTTTTGAAGTTTGTGCAGAAGTTTCAACCCTACCATGGGTAAACTGGACCATGGAGTCGTATATGGAGGATGTGGTAAAGTTGACCCAACTCATAAGACTATATTTATCTTAACCCAACTCAACTCAATCCAACTCAATAATAAAAAATATTTTTTCTCCCTTTCACTTATACAATCTAACTTTTAACAACCTACATATCTTTATCCATAATCCAACCAACCCAACCCAACATACTATTTATTTTATTTTTATTTATTAAATATTATCTACAATAGATTTTTTGTTATTTTTTAATTTGTGATAAATTAATTAAAAATCTATAATTAAAAATATTGATTTCAAAAAATTAATATTTTAAAATACAACTAAAAAAAGATTACGAACATAATTAAAAATTGAATCAGTACAAAATAAACTAAACAAGTTACAAACATTTCAAATGAAATTACACATCAACTACCATTGCCAAATTTTGTCCATATGTGCTCAATCAAGTCATTTTACAAACTCACGTGAGTTTCTCTATTACGGAATTGTGACCTATTGGTCATATACGTAGATAGGTTTGTGATTCTTTCAATCGAGTATTGAAAAGGCATATCATTGTCCTCTTTTTCTACTCCATTTCTTTTGTTCCTTCGTTGTTGCCTCCGTCTGTATGTAGGCCTATCGTTCATAAATTCTGTAGAATCATAATAATTCAAGTAGGCGTCCCGTTCATCTTCTACTATCATATTGTGCATGATGATACAAGCCGTCATAATTCTTCCCATAAAAAAACGATCCCATACTAGACATGGTCATTTGATAAATGCAAAACGAGCTTGTAGAATACCACATGCGCGCTCAACATCTTTTCTAGCCGCCTCTTGGTGCTGAGCAAACAACTTGTGTTTTCGAAGTTGCGGATTTGTACCATCAGTGAGGTAATATCTCATATTTCTTTGTTGGTCATTCACAACGTAGCTAATTTCTGATGCACGACCTTCCAAAATATCATAAGAAACAGGAGATTGGTGAAGTACATTGATATCGTTGCATGAGCCTGGTGTTCCAAAAAATGCATGCCATATCCATAAGTCATATGATGCAACAACTTCCAAAATAATTGTTGGTTTTTCACTTCTTCCTGCATATTGCCCAGCCTATGCTGTACGTAGGACAATTTTTCCATCCCCAATGCATGCAGTCAATACTTCCCATCATTCCTGGGAATCCACGTTGCTCCCCTACATGAAGTATTCTTGCCATATCTTGTTCATTAAGCCTTCTGAGGTATTGGCCGCCGAAGTTAGAAATGACGCCTTCTACGAATTTCATGAGAGACTCCCTCGTTACAACTTCACTTATTCGCAAGTATTCTCTCAACAGCATCCGCTGATGTTCCATAGCCCAACACCCTTACGGCTGCAGTACATTTCTGCAATGGTGAAATGCCCAGCCTACCAGTGGCATCACGCCTTTGTTGAAAATATTCGTTGTTGGTGGTGATTTCGCTCATTATACGAAGAAAAAGATTCTTACGCATGCGAAATCTCCGACGGAATACCTCTTCAGAATAGGTGGGATTGTCGAAGAAGTAGCCATTGAACACATTCTCCTCTCCTATCTCTCGTTGCCTCTCAATGACTTTCCTTCTACCTCTAGGAACGTGATTTGTTGGTCGTAAGACAATATTTGGAATACGAACAATCACATCTTCCATAATATGATCAAATTGTTGATTTTGTTGAATCACTCGTTCTTCCCATTCATCAAATTCGATGAAATTGGAAGTTTCAGAACTAGAACTTGAATTTTCAGATGGGTTTTCAGTCGAAGACATTTCTGAACAAGAACGAATTGTCTTACGAAAAACAAAGTTATAATTGATATAAAGAAAATAGATATCGAGCTGATTTTGAATTCAATTTGATCTGAATTCAACCATATTATATAGGAATGTGGTATGAAAAGTTTGGTGTAGATTTAACTTAAAATAAAATTAAAGTAAATGTAAAATAAAAGTAAAGTAAAGTAAATATAAAGAAATGTAAAGTAAAGTAAAAGCAAAAGTAAAGTAAAATAAATAAAAGCTGCATGTGATTTCAATGAATGTGAAATTTATTGAATAAAGCTGCTATTTGATAGTGAAATATAAACTTGATCCGAATTCAATGCACGTAAATTTTGGAAGACAAAATAAAGCTGCTATTTGATAGTAATAACTCATACACTATATTCCAAATAGCTCTTGGCCATTCATTTTATATGTGACTATTATACTAGCAGATAGGACAATCATGGAAGTAACATGTGATTTCTGAAAAAGATTAGAGAAAAATACTTACTAAATAGATTTTTATTGAATAACTTGAATTACAGGAATTGAAAAGCATACGTCAGAATAACTAAAATGACATAAATGAAAGCTGCATGATAATAAATTACATCGACTTTCCAAATAAAATTGTTGTTAAATGACGTTTCATCTCTTCATCTTCCGGCGATAAGTGGTCTTTTGCCAACAACGTATTTAACACCATCATATTCATTTTCCTAAGCTTCATTTCTTCCTTCTTGAGTTTCAACTCCATCCTATCGTTCGATATTTTTGTCATTAAATCACATTTGTTCTTTCTTATAAGTCTTAGTGCACGAATTTTCTGCAGTGAGCTTATTAGGAATGGAAGAAGATTGTGATGCTATCTTTTTTCCTTTCTTTTTCGCCATATCTCTACCTTCGGGACGGGGAATTACAAAACCATCACTAACTAGAGTTTCTGGATTTGAGGGAATTGACTAATCTCCATCTTCAGTAGTCATTGATCTTTTGGAACTGCTATGACTTTCTTCATTACTCGTTTCATCTTCAGGGTGTGAACGAGTTGAATCACGATCTAATTTTAATTCCCATTTGGGATGCTTTCGCATGACTTCTTCAAAGACATGCAAGTCTGTAAACTTGCTACCACGAGCTTCATAAATTATATGGGCTTCTTTTTCAACATCTTTCATGCTCATTCTGCTCCTTTTATTTATGTATGCTTCCATGTAAGCACCTCTCTACTTGTTTACATTTTCATTAAGGCGTTTATAACGACCTTTCATTGAATTCAAGTTTCTTTCACCAATTTCTTCTGGATTTTCCAATCGAGCTTGCTCAAACATTTGAGCTATGCGTGCCCATAATGAAGAACCCTTCTGATTCTTGCCACACATTTTGTCTTCGCTAAAGAAACACCAAGCTGACATTAGAGCAATATCTTATGTCACACTCCAACTAACATTTTTCGTTCATTTTTTAGGATTTGTGCGTGGCTGTTGCACATTTTGAAATAGATTTCGGGAGATGTTTTGTGGGGGCTGGGCATTCACAGAAACTGAAAATTGGGTAAGATTAGGAGAAAATGACTCTTGTGAATAATTTTCGAAATTCTGAAAATTTTCAGAGTTCGACAAATTTTGAGAATTGAGGTAAAATTAAAAATTTGGATCCATATGGTATTTATTGGAAATTAAGAAATATAAAAGAGATGATAAAATTAATAAGGTATGATTAAGAAAAGGATGAAAAGAGATAAATTTCAGTTGTGATCTAAAACATATCAAGAGTGGTCTCTATTTATAGAGAATGAAAAGTACGAATTTTGTTATTTATATATTTTTAATATATAATAAACTCAATAATTGAGTTATCTTATCTTATCACATTAAAATTATAGTGGCCATTCAGAAAGGGACAAGTGTCCCATTCTTTATCCAATCCAATTAATAATTGAATTAAAAAATAAAAAAAAATATAAAGAAAGAAGGAAAAAGCGTTCGCGTCCCGGTTGCGACCCAAGGTCACAATGTGACCTGGGTCGCCCAAAATTTGCCAATTTCCTTATTTATTTATTTATTTATTTATTTATTTTTATTATTATTATTATTATTATTATTATTATTATTATTATTATTATTATTATTGTCTTTTAGCTGGTGACCCAAATAAGGGTAGTCTAAGGGCAGTGTACACATGAATTTTTTATCTTTTATTTACACATTAAACGAAGGGCTAAAAAATTCATGCAGGCACGGCTCTTAGAGCACCTACAATGTTTTGGATCTCTTAACAAAAAATCACATGTCATGTAGGAAATAGACCCAGTCTATAAAAAAGTATTTCATAATGCAATTAAAAGTGGACATAGTCTAACTTATTCGGCAATTAAAAAAAGAGACCAAGCCCATTCTTGGGTCTATTTTGGACCCAAGTGTGAACCTGTACAATCAGCAATCATTTATTATTATTATATTTTTATTGGTTGTTAGGTATTCTAGACCTAGTACTTTTTTGTTTGCATTGGATAGATTTTAGATTTTTTAGCTTGAGTTTGTCCATGTCATTATAGAGTTAAATCTATTTATTTGTCACATATACAAAAGAGACCCAAAGCATTGTGGTGCTCTTATAGGAGGTTTCAATGGGGCATGGCTGAAAAATATGTGTATTGGAGATTTTTTCATTGCAAGAATTCATAGTGATTCTTTTCTATAGTTGAGCATGTCAAATAAAAAAAAAAAGAAAATTAGAAGTGAATTAGAAAATTGTCTCAACCGTTTTAGTTCATTATTAGCCCAGAAGCCCCTCATAGTGTTCGCAGCAAAATTTCAAATATAATTTTTAAAGTAGTATAAAAACATAACTTTGTGCCTTAATTGCAGTTATTAAAGACGATTTCAATATTTTCCTGAAGTATTTACTTTTACCTAAAGGCTTAAACACAACTATCACATTCTCTCTTCCACATTCAGAAACTGAAGGGAAAACGGGTGCGAGCCCACTACCATGAAGCGCACCATGGGAAAACAGGAAAAGCACGTATGAAGCTCAAATGGAGTTCCATCCCAAAATCAATTGGTAGAAGGAAGAGTAGCCCATTAGACTTATAAGGTGTGTCTATTTTATATGTATGGATGATGTGAGACAACTCACAAGTGATTGTGAGTCCTTCGAAAGCTCAAGCCGAACTGGCTAGGAAAAACGGGTACGTCATCGCACGGTCCCACATAGAACCGACTCTGATACCATGACAGAAACTGGGGGGAAAAACGTGTGCGGGCCCACTACCATGAAACGTACCATGGGAAAACGGGAAAAACTCATATGAAGCCCAAATGGGGTTCCACTCCAAAACCAATTGGTGGAAGTATGAGTAGCCCATTAGACTTATAAGGAGGGTCTATTTTATATGTATGGATGATGTGAGACAACTCACAAGTGATATTCTAACACACATCATGTCAAAATCATCATTCAGCCAAAATCACTGCATTCAAACAACTTCCACATTGGGTAGTTCATTTAAATATAAAATTTATTGAATGACAGATCCAAAAAGAGACCATCAAAAGTATGATCATACGGACCGAATGGTATTAGTGGGCCTCATGATTGTCATTTAAATGAATAAGCCACATTAGTATTAATGGCTCCACGTTTCATTTAAATGGTTCCACATTAATATTAGTGGACCTAAGAGATGGACCTTATGCTTCATTAACAAACCAAGTGTTTGACCTTGTTCTTTATTTAAACCTTATTTTTCAATTCTCATGTCACAATATTAATATTTCAATCTTACTCATACATTCACAATATTAAAACTTCAATCTTACTTATTCATTTAACTGCTTATACAGGATTTAATAACACTCGTACAACCTTTAATATTGCTCGTTTAATTTCATGTGTCTTGGATAGTAATAGAATTGGTTAAAAAAACTTTTTTTCATTTCTTTTGATAATGCTAGTGCTAATACTCATCTATATCTGAGCTTAAGGAAATGTATAGTTCTCTTTCTGGGGGAAATTATTTTTATATTTGATGTATGTGTCATTTTTCCTTAATCTTTGTACTCAAGCGTGCTATCAGGCTTTGAAAGAGTCGGTCAGACCTATTAGGAATGTCGTTACTTACTTATATCGTTGTTCGCAAGAAATAAAAAGATGGAAAAAGTTTTGTAAAGAACAAGGTGTTGCACCTAAAAAATTCCAACCAGACGTTCCTAGTCATTGGAACTCAACTTATAAAATGTTAATAAAACCATATGCATTGGTACACAACTAGAGGATTTTTTTCATAGTTCTCAACATAAGAATTGTGATGTCATCGTTGGTATCACTAATTGGTTAAATTTTCAAACACTTTTGAACTTTTTAGAAATATTTCAAAGTGCTATCAACGCAGTTTTTGGTGTTTACTATCCTATTGCTCAACTTCTTATAAGTCAATGTGTAGCCGTAATGTGAGATTTTAAAGATACTTTTATAAAAACGACGAACTTGTAAGAGATATATTAAGAAAATGATTAAAATATTATTTTTTTCACTCTCGATACATTTTTAGATGCATCTTTGTTAGACCTGTCATTACATGAAAATGACTTACACAACCAACTTCACACTATTATGATACTATATATCAACTCTCGCTTCCCACTGATGTCTTGACTAACAGTGTAAGACCTAACCCACGGCAGCTCGTCGGCCCAGCAAAACTTTTATTGTATGAATTGTTTAGGGAAACAACAATCAAACTCGGGAAAAATTCGACGTCATTTTATTCTAATGTTTCTGGGTCTTCTTCTTATGGGAAATGGGGACAGACGACGTGAAAAACCGAAAACTTTAGTGACTTGTGCAAGGAAAATTTTAATTCCTACAAAAATGCTAAGATCCAAAGGCCAAGGGGACTGGATACCGTGAGCTCGATCACTACCCCACGGCGAATTTGATACTTACGATTGCTCGTGAACCAGTTTAGCCACAAAAACCCTGAACCAGCCTGAAACCGCCAGTTCAATGAACTGACCTGTTATGTTCGGGTCGATTCAGGTTCCCCCAAACTCCGGCCTGGGCCGGACAATTCCGACCCAAAAGTGACTCGGTACGGGATTCAGCCGCGTCTGATCTTGTCAGACAGCCCAATAATGAATTTAATTGAGCGGCCCAAATGAACAATCTGCGTATAACACAGCCCGTTAATTCACTTGAAAGGACGATCATCTTGAACCTCTTTGATTATTCCTTGTTGATAACACAAATTTTCCATGTTTTAAATACCGTACCGTACCGCCCGGTATTACCGGTAATACCGGATACCGGTGGTCCGACCGATACGGTTATACTTTAAATACCGTTTTGGCCAAAATACCGATTTATACCGGTTTCATACGAGAAAATACCGGTTTTACCGGCAAATACTGGCCAAATACCAGTCAAAATACCAGTTTATACTATTTTTTTTAAAAAAAATATTTTTTAATATATTTCCACTAATTTATTTATATAAATTGAAAGTTATACACTTAATTTTAATATGTTTACATTGTTATTAGATGTTAATTAATTTTATTATTAGTTAAAGTTAGTTTTGTACATCATTTATATTATAATAATAAATTAATTTAATATTTATTGAAATCGGTAAAATAGACGATAATACCAATCGAACTGGTTGAACCGCGTACTGGTTGGCTCGTCCGGTATGATTGCCGGTACCGTATTTAGAACACTGCAAATTTCCTTATTAACTTTCCATTCTCTTCATTCTTCATTCTTCATTCTTCATTCTGTCGAGTTCGACACTAAAAATTCTTTTTCTGAAGATTTTCGGAGACTCTGATTTCTTTCTGCCTGCTCGATTAAACACAATTTCGTTCATTACTTCTCATTTGTATAGTATATTTTGAATTTTTGACCAAGAAGAACGATTGAAAATGGATCCTGATTCAGTGAAATCGACTCTTTCTAATCTGGCTTTCGGGAATGTGTTGGCTGCTGCAGCTCGCGATTATAAAAAGGTCATATACTTCTCTATCCATTGTTGTTCTCCCATTTTTGTGCTTCTGCGTGAAATGAAAAGTGGGTTTGGTTGCATTTCTTTGTGTTTCATCATCCATAAAATAATTTTTGTGGGTCTATTTCTTTTTCCTTGTTTAAACATTTAATCCAGATTTGTTTTTTTATAATGTGTACCAGCCGTAGGTTATCAGTTGATTGATCAGACGAAAATATTTAAATTCATGTAACCTGCTGCAAGATTTAGTTTATCTTCATCTGGTTTTTGAAATTTATGCTCATTCTTTACTGCGTTTCATTTCGTGGATGATGAAACTCATAATTTTGGGTTGATTGAAACTCTACTTCTCAACTGTGATCTAGTAAAGTTGCTTAATTAGGGAATATATCTCAGCAAATTACCATAAAGAAACACTTATTTCACTCAGATTTAGGATCTCAATGCCATGACTTTTATAGGAAATGCTGGCTAATGAGAAAGCGCAAGCATCAAGCTCGGCTAACGAGGAAGTCGATCTAGATGAATTGATGGATGTAAGCGAACAATCTCTTCAAATCCCCCTACGATTTTATTTTCTTTCTTTTTTTATTTATGTTTTTTACATGTGTCCTTTGTCTTTTGGCCCAGGATCCCGAACTAGAAAAATTGCATGCTGATAGGATTGCATCCCTTAAGGTTTGTATTAAGCTTTCAAATGAGTTTTGAGTTGCCTTCAAGAGATTTTGCATACTATACTGATATTCCATACAGAAAGAAGCAGAAAAGCGACAAAAATTAAAGATGCAAGGCCACGGAGAGTACAGGGAAATTACAGAAGCAGACTTTTTAAGTGAAGTTACGGGCAGTGAAAAAGTGATTTGTCATTTCTACCACCGAGAGTTCTACCGTTGCAAGTAAGAACATGTTGCCTTATTGTCCCACAGTTGAAATGTTTGTATGAACTGAAGTCGTGGAGCGTAAGTCGATATTTGGATAGTTGGATATTAGAGGCCTGGTATAAAAGAATGTGTGAGTCCTTGTGTTTTTAAGGAAATGTTTACTTGCTCCTCTTCTCTGAAAAACAGTTGTACAAAATGCCTCTTATCCTTCTAAAGAACTGACATGAAATACTTATGTAATATTTTTGGTGCATATTCTATAGGATTATGGATAAACATTTAAAGTCCCTTGCTCCAAGACATTTTGGTACCAAATTCATCAAATTGGATGCTGAGGTCAGTGTAGGCTGCATGCATCCAATTCAAGGATGATAGTAAATTTTGAAGGAGCTAATATCTTGTTTTTTGTCGTTTTATGCAGAATGCTCCTTTCTTTGTGGCTAAGCTTGCAGTGAAAACATTACCATGTGTCATACTGTTCAGGTCCTTCATGTCATTACTTCTTAATTGTTCCACATATGAATCTTATATTTCACAATTACTGATTTTTCTTCTTCTTTTTCCTTTTCCGTCCCTTTTCTTTTTGCACAATGATGGCACAATATAACATGTTGATGCACTATCTCATTTTTCCTTACTTCATGGTGTTCCATGAAGTCCTTCTCTATAGTCCTAAGTTTGTATATTATATTGAGTAGCTATTAAAGATAAAAGGGTCGCAAATAATGTCCTTGAGAGAAGTATATATGTAACAAAAGCTTCTAGTCTGAATCTGGACATTGTAATGAGAGTATTTGTAATTTCAAAGGATAATAGAAGAGATTTTATAACTAGGCTCTCACGGGATTATTTATTTATTTTTTTAATTTAATAATTATCACATGTAATTTGTATGCTAAGGGAGCATATGTTAAATAATTTTGGAACTTTATTCCCGCTTTATCCAGGAAAGGAGTAGCAACAGATAGAGTGGTCGGGTTTCAGGACTTGGGGGGAAAAGATGATTTCTCGACTAGAACCCTTGAGATTCACCTGGTGAAGAAAGGTAATTCTTAGCTTTAATTTGCTTTTCGGAGTACCTGCACTAACCTCGTTATAATTAATAATCCAAGTTGCCATTTTTTTTTTTCAGGAATAATTGAAGAGAACAAACGGGAGGAAGAGGATGATGATTATCTCGAAGGTCAACGTAGGACAGTGAGATCATCTGTGAATCATGATTCTGATTCTGACTAAGGTCGACGCTAGGAAGTAGGAACTTGCAGGTTCACAAGAAGCTTGCTCAACGCAAAATTTGAAACTAGGTCACGATTTTTATGTGCATTATAAAAAATTGCAATGCCGGTGTTGAAGTAGTAAGTTAAGCCTTAGCAAGTGAAATTTTCTAGATTATCGCGAAACAATTTCTCAGGTTGTGTACTGTTATTCTACTTGGTGGCTGTATAATCGTCGAACACTTGTTGGACAGTTACTTGCAACAAATATATGGTGTGAAGATGTGAGGCTAAACCAAATCCGGCTCGGCTTCTGAAAATCGTGTTGTCTCTATAGTGTCTCATTCACCATGTTCATAATTGAAAGCATCAGTCCTCTTCATATTGTATGCAAAGGTCAATGTCTTATTATTTTCATTATTATTTTTAGGGAAAATTACACTTTGTCTACCGAACTATCCGCGTTTTTACACTTTGCCCATTCAACTTTTTTCGGTGACACTTTACCCCTTGAACTTCAAATTTTCTTGCACTTAACGACTTTCAGCCACCGGAGATGCAAAATCAAGGGCAAAATTGTTATTTATACCTTAGGGGACACCTTAAATTAGTCTTCACGAGTACACTTTGTCTACCGAATTATTTGTGCTTTTACATTTTGTCCTTGATTTTGCATCTCCGGTGGCCAGAAGTCGTTAAGTGCAAGAATATTTGAAGTTCAAGGGGTAAAGTGTCATCGCAAAAAGTTGAGTGGGCAAAGTGTAAAAACGCGGATAGTTCGGTAGACAAAGTGTAATTTTTCCTTATTTTTATTATATTTTATTTGGTTTGGTCATAAATAACGAGATGAGCTTCGTTGAGCATAAAATAAGATGAAAATTAATTGAATAAAGAAGAGAGAAGAAAATGATGCTTCGACCAAATTTCAGACAGGTTGAAAAAAGGAAAATGAGAACAAAAAATATTTATTTGTTTGTACGAGTTTCTGAGAATGGCACGTTGAAACGAGAATAAAAGAAAAGATATTGTTATGAGATGGCAAAGTTCAATAAATGGAAAAGTTCCATCTGTGGCTGCTTGTCTTCCAGCCCACGTTTCCAGTCACATAAAATCACAAAGTGATTCTCACCCCTAAACTATTTGTGATTCTCACCACTACACAACAATCCGTTGATGGATTATGGCAGCGTTTTCTGATATAATCATAAGCATGAGAAAATTGTGATATAAATATCTTTTTATTTTCATGGCTCATTTATATGAATCTATAAAGAAGTTGAAAACATA